CAAGTAGGACTTTCAAATAAGAGGGAATTTCACATAATGGTTGCAAATAGGTGGAGTTAACAAAAGAAAAGCTGAATTTTGAGGAAAAAATAGTTTGAATAAATTTAAAAATAAACAATGAAACAAACAAGTAAAAGAGAGGGGTCCTAGGTTTATAAACAATATGGATCACCCCACACAACACCCGGTAACCACTTATACACGTGGTATTATCGCGTGGTCATCATATCCATATCTACCCTTTCCCACCCCGTTAAGGTATTAAAGCGCGGAATGGTTTCGTTACTTATTGCATGCTATTACCCGCCCCAATCCTATCAGTCCCGGAGTTATTTGGACTACTAATCCTACAGGGAAGGGGTATGAGGCTTTATAGTTTCAAAGGACAAAATTCTAAGGCGACAATCAAAACACATATGTAGCAAATATGGGTAGAAGCACGTAACAGATAGAAAGGCTCAAACAAACCTCCTTAAACCAAAGAGAGGCATATAGTTTAGCATGTCTTACATGTACTGCTTAGGGTCTGATTAAACTTAAAAGTTGTGGCAGACTGATCTATTACATATTTCAGATAAGAAATCCGAATCAGGCCTGCCTGCTGGTTGTAGCTAAAAATCTGATTCAGTTTACAAGTTTATCTTATGGCTTGCCTAAGTGTTAAACGAAACCTATAGGCATGATATCTATTAGTTTCAGAAAAGAAGTATGCTGATTTTAAGAAAAAAGAAATTGTCAGTAACCAGGAAAGGCTAGTTTTTGGTAAAAGAGCGTAGGTTCTGCAGACGTTAAGCAATATCGTTACTGATTTTATACTTACAAGCGAATGAACGATTCAGGTTTGGTTGATAGTTCCTATAGGCATGCTTTCTAGGCGTTGCTGATTTTTTAAAACACTTTTTACAGGCGAAGCAAGAGTGCAGAAGTCCTATAGGCATGGTATCTAAATGTTGTTAGTTATTTAAACTCCATAAACAGGTTTGCCTAGCGACAGATGTATATGCAAGACTTAGATTTCTAGTCAACTATGAACATAGTATCTACGTATGAGATGCAGAATTCCTTATATACATGGTATCTATATGGATGCATAAACCTATAGACATGGTATCTACATAATGCGGAAGTGCAGAAACCTTATAGACATGGTATCTACATGGATGCAGAAACCTATAGACATGGTATCTATATAAATGCAGAAGTGCAAAGCTGTAAGCAGGATATACGAATGCAGAAGTGTAGTAATTCCCTATGAGCGGGATATCTACCCCTTTGCATGCATGGTTAACCCTCCCTTTTTCACTAATCACCCTAGAAGTTTATTACAAGATTATTACAGTCCAAAGATAAAATAAAGAAAATATATCAGAAAATTTAAAATACAACCAAGGAGAGCCTGATTCAAACTTCCTGTCTGAAGCATGAAGTAAACCAACTCCAAAGATCAAGTTCCAAAGCCTTTCTCTCATTTGGGATGTGTCAGAGTTCCCTAAGAGCCTCAAATGGACTCCGGGCAGTGCTCACACCCCAAATACATGACAGGATTGAGTCATAGTGCAGTGTGGAAGGGCCAACCCTCAAGTGTCCAAGTTCAGAGGGAACTCAAGGTCCCAAGGCAAGGCTCACAGGAGGGGGACAGAACTTAGAAGCTAAGAGTGAGTGTAAGTGCAGAGAGGGAATTCTGAAAAGGGGAAAGGGAAGTGGCAAAGGGCAAGGACAGGCTAGTGGGCATACCTAGCAATGGGAAATGCTGGCACACCCCACAAGCCTGTTAAAATACATTATTTTGGGAGTTAGGATCCCCTAAGGGATCAAGTCCAAACATGAACAATAACTTGCATATTGCCATGTCCTGAACTATAACTCAAAGCACATAGAGGAAAACAGGGGTGCGGGGATTTACAGCAGAAACAGATGAAAGGAAATTAACATGCTAGTTAACATTCAACTCCACATAGACAGAAGTAGACATGGATGTAAAGGCTATAAGTAAACACATTGGGATGATGCTGAAGCTAAAACTAGAACATACTAGTCTCAAAGAAACAAGTAAGAAGAAAGCAGTAGTCTTGTAAAGCCAAAGTGCAAATAGGCAGTCAGAATACTATGAGTTTAGAAGAGAATTGTGAGATTGTAAGTGTGAAGTCTGAAGTGTCGAATTGAAAGTGTGTCTTGTGAAAAAGAGGTCATGCCTTTTATAGTGTAGAAAGCAGGCAGGAATAAGGTAAAAAAATAATTTGAAAACTGACTGCCAATCAATTACACAAGGTTTTCCATTAATTAAGGGATCCAGATTTTAAACGGGTAAAACTAATTAAGGAAAGAAATCAACCAAACACTTTGCAAAGTAGTAAATTAGGGGTAAATACATAGAGGTTTATTTAAGGACAAGGTCCTGACAATACACGGTTGCACCATTTAAGGAAAGAGAATCAATTAACAGCCAAGAAATCAGAAATCCAGAGATTTGGTATGAATGAACCAAGCCAGAAAGGTGGAAAAGGTTTTAACTTAAGAAAAATCAGTAACAATCAATTGGACTTAGTTAAAAGAATTCTGAATCAATCACTAGCTTGAAAACCCTTTTGAAGAAAGATTCATCATACATATAAAAGCATACAGACACGTTTAAACACGAAAGAACTGTCATGCCAATCAGTAGAAGAGTCTAGTGTAGAAGAATTTAAAAGTTCAGAATTGTATGTAAGCAAAGAAGTTCAACTTAGTTCAAAGACTCAAAATTGGTCTGAAAGAGTCAAGGGTTCTAAAATAAAACCCTAGTTCAATCACATGACCAAACCTCTGCAGAACCCCCAATTCCAGGGTTTCCACCTCGAGTCAAGTACAGAGATGAGGAGGCGAGTAGTCGAAACAGACTCAGAGATCTCTTTCAGAAACTCATAAGAAAACAAGCAAATACAGTAGAAAGTTCAAATCAAATAGAGTGAAGAAACTAATTCGAAGCACAATGAAGGTAGAAGAAACAGTAGCGGAAAACATGCCTAAGCAGGTCTTTTAAAACAAGGTAAAGTAGAAGAGAAAACAGTAAACAGTTAAGAACATGGTGGAAGGATACAGTAGGCGAAGCATATCAGATCATAGTGGAAGAAAAATAACAGAACATAGTGAAAAAGAATGTGAGAACATATCATAGAAAATACAGTAAAAGAAAGAACGAAATATAGAAAACACAGTAGAAGAACATGCGTGATAAAAGGAAACATAAGAACGCAGTAGAAGAACATGCATGGTAGAAAAGAAAATATAAGAACATAACGGAGACAAATACAAACAAAGAAAAGGAAATGAAAAGTCAGAAAAACATTTTGAACATTTCCAGAAAACCCTAAATTGGAAAGAAGTGACTTTTGAAAGTAATTCTTGAAAGAAAAATTGGGAAAATCGTTTAAAAACTCAAGTAGAGCATAGATACGTGACAGATCTAAGAAAAATCGGAGAGAACCTCGAATAGTCAGGGTTTCAGAACCCTAGAATGAGAAAGGCTTGGAAAAGGTCCGATCTGAGTCGGATAAGTCAGAACCAGGCTCAAAACACCATTGTACGCCGGAGCAAGGCTGGAGATGGCCATAGAACCTTGGATCGGTGGAGATCTGAACGGAAACCTTCGAGGTCAGACCTCAAATCTTCAAGTACCCAGTGTATAAGAGCAAAGGGAGGTGAGTGTGGGATTCCCATGGCCTGGGAAGCCATGGATCCCGGTGAGTTTAGGGTAGAAGACGGTGAGAGGGGCTAGGGTTTCGAGAGAGTCTGAGAGAGGAAAGGATTTCAGAGGCAGCGGGTTAAGGGGAAATGATTTTAGGGTTGGGTGTTTGTGAATTAAAAAAGGAAAGGAATGATTGTGGTCGTTGATCAAAATAATCAACGGCCTAGATCAAAAGGGGAGGCCGGGCGGGTTAGATTAGTTGGGTCAGGGGTGGGTAATTTAGAAATTGGGCCGGTCCATTTGGGGTTTGAAATTGGGTTAATTGGGGGAACCAATTTGGGCTAAAATTGAAATAGAATGGGGCCAGATTTTAAATAGCCAGCTTTTCCCTTTTTATTTTATAAAAAATAGTAAAATAATTTCTGAAAATAAATTAAAGGTACTAAATTAATTAATAATATATAAATACTAAATTAAAAATACTGGAACCAATTTCATAATCATAAACGCAATTAAATCTTAAAATAGGCTAAAATTGTAATTATATGCAATTTAGCTTTTAAAATACCAAATAAATTTGTAAAAATGTGTAAAAAATTATCTTAGCTATATTTTGGTATAAATATGAGAATAAAATAAGTTATTCACCAAAATGATAATTTTGGGAATAATTATTGGTTTTTGTACTGCTAAAATGGGCAATAAATTGATTTAAAAATCTTTAAAAAATCAGAAAAAATACTAAAACACTTGAACATACTTATATATGCATATATATGCTATTTTGAAAGTATATTGCATGTAAAAAAAATACATAGGGAAAAAGTGGGTATCAACAGAGGACTGGGTCCGAAAGTCAGCCGCCACCTCCTCCTATGATGAGCGCAAATGGCGTGAATTATCAAGGGGCAAGTGGGAGGCCAAACATCATGGTAAGTGTTTTCCCCAATTTCAAATACTTTCATGTATTGGTGGCGTCGACTCATTCACATTTACTTATGCAGGCATCGGAGATGTCTCCGAAATGAGGCCAGCCCCGCCTGGGGAAGGGACCAAGTCTGTGATTGCGAAATCGGAGAAGGATAACAAAAGAAAGAGGGTTTCGAAGCCTGAAGACCATCAAGACAAGAAAACCCCTGCTCGAAGGCTACAGAAGAGATTTGCTCACGTGGACGCAGATTCGGCTCACGATTCCCCGGATGACGAAGAAAATGATGGTAAAAAGTCGGCATTGGTGCCTCAAACAAGGAAACCAATCGAGGCCGCCTAGCCCTTTGAACTAGATACCTCATCCTGTGGTGAGGGAACTCCAAAGAAAGATTCGATCACGGCCCCCATGTTCCCGGAGGTTAAAATCGTTCCATCGCCTTCGACAAATATATTGGAAGGGGTGAGTGCGGAAACCCTCGAGGCTAATCAGAACACCCCGAGTGAAGAGCTCGGGGCCATGACAACAGGTCATTCTATTTCTCTGCCATCTTATTTCGAGGAGGCAATCGAAGATGCTAACGCTCTGCGTACGCCCGATCCGAGCAAGGTCCTCGAGGTGGATCCCTTTTAGGGTTGTTTTGCTGGGGTCGAGGATACCACCAACCTTAATGATGCGTCCGTCATCTTCGAAGAGGCTCAACATCTCCTCTCTTGGGTAAATACTAACCTTCATTGTTGTAATTTTTTCTCTCTTTCCTTTCCTTTGACTGATATATCTTCTTTTCATGTATAGGCCATCGTCAAGTTTAGAGGTGAGCTGAGCCAATGTGAGGCCGAGCTCAGGAAAATTTTGGGCGAAGAGAAGGCCCTAAGGCTCCTCTGCAGCCAAAAGGAATAAAAGCTTAAGGATCTACGGGCTGAATTGGCCAAAGCTCGAACAAATGAGGCCGAGCTAGATGAGTAGGTAACTGTGATTTTAACAGGGTATGGTCTCCTTGGCCCTACTTCGGAGGCTAAACCTTCGATATCTCAACTGCAGCAACAGTTAGAGATGATCAGGCTGCTCCGGGGCGAGGTTGATCAAGTTAAGGCTGAATGTCGTAGATGGAAAAAGAACATGGACCAGCTTGCTGCCGATAAGAAAGCCGTTACAGCCCAACTGACCTCGGCTGAAACTCAATTCTGAGGCATTAAAGCGAAGGGTTTGGCCCAGGTCAGGAAAATCGAGGAGTTAGAGGCAGAGTTTGCTAGAGCTCGGGCTAAAGCTGCACAAGCTAAAGCTGAAGTTGAGAAGACGAAGTCTACGGCTGATAAGTCCATTGCCATGTACTTAAGAGACGTCGTGGCTGTTCAAGCGGAGTTGAGGGAGACCTCCGACCGGGAAAAATGGAGCAATGATTTGGCCAAGTATCAAGCCCGGAGGGAGACTCTTGAAGAAATCCACGCCCGAGGATTTGACCTTACTGAAGAGATAGCCGAAGCAAAGGCGCAGGAAACCGATGCCACGTTTCTTGTCTCTTCAGATGATGAAGATGTTGTAAGCGGCTCCTAAGGCGGGGAAGGTGAGGAAGGTGTTACCGAGGATGAGGAGGCTATCGAAGAAAGAGCTATAGAGGGTGCAGTTCCTAAGGAAGCTGCTTCTGGGGACGTAACCCCAAAATAGATTAGGTTCTCTTCTTATTTTTATGTGTAAGGGTCCCTTGTGGGCATTGTAAATATACTTTTTTTTTTGTAGAATATCCTTTGCGAATATAAAGAACCTTTTTGCTCTATCCTCAGCTTGTGTTGTGTTTCATTTTGTTCTCATTTGTGGAATATTTCGATTGTATAGCTCAAATAATTAGTTCGAGTGCTGGTTTGGGCCCAGAACATAATAAACCCTTAGGTTTTTATTGATCAATATAATACCCCTTAAGGTTTTGTTAATCTTCGAGCTAAGTTTGATTTGGTATGAGCTAGAGATGTCGGGACTCTTGAGTCCGAGTTGAGTGAGAGCAGGGTCTCGAACTCTATGTATTTCGGCCCTTAGGCTCTTTTAGATCGTCCCTTAGGCTCTTTTAGTTGGGTCAAATCGGCCTCTAGAATGGATACATAATTTTCCCTTTTTTCGGCTAAAAGACTTAGTGAAAATTTTTGTATGCCTTTGCATGTGTTTTTTCTACCCGTTGGGGTTTTCGAGGGTTTGATGTATTGGAACCTTATTAGTAACTTGTTTGTGTAATGATAATCAAATACCTCTTGAGGTTTTATCGAAGGCTGATGTTATCGAAGCCTTTAAATTATTCGATGACTTAATTTATCGAAACCCTTTATATTTTGCTTTTGCCAAGGGTAGCCTGATTTAGCCGTTTTTTACAAAAGCGTTTGAAGGCCTTTAATTTATAGCGGAAGTCGGACGTTTCCGAGCCGCATTATATTGGTCGTAGCCTTTTTACACGATAGTAGTCTTTAATATGGACGTAGCCTTCGGGTATGTCATTTGGACTTATTTCCCTATACTTTTCTAACTTGTTCGAAAAGTTAGTCCCCGAGTATATTGGCCTTGGCCTTTGTTTCGAGGGGATGCCTCACAACTAATATATTGTCTATTTTCATTTTTTTCGTTTTCTTGAGCCGGGAGACTAACGGAAATAGCGGGTAAGGTCTGTGTACACACTACCCTCCGTAGACCCCTCACCTGTAAATTTTACTGGGTTGTTGTTGTTGTAAAATTTAAATTTAAGATACGAATTAATCTAATCTAATTTAGGTTCAATGATTTTGAGAAGGAAAACGTGATAAATATTGTGGGATGGAGGGAGTACATTTTTACAAGCACAGAAATGGAACTGTTTTAAAATAGCTGGAGCTGAGTGCTAGCCATTTGTTTAGTAAGATGTACCCTGCGTAAAATATTTTCGGAATGCTCGACCGCTATTCCGAGGTCGAGCCTACTCGACGTCGGTATGTATCGTGCTCTGCCGTCGAACTCTGGTTTGGTCCCTCGAGCTCGAACTCGATCTTGCCTGGACTCGGACTTCTCTCGAGTATATAGATCGAAGGCGTACGATCTCGACCGTATACGCATGTATATTAAATGCTAATAACAAAACTAACCCTCTCATAATAATAATAAAAAAAATAAAAATACATTATATACTGATTATGTAATAGAAGTTCGTTCTTCTTATTCCCTTCTATTAATTAGAGTTTTAGAGATCAGCTACGTAGTGAAGATATATTTTGTTATTATTTAAACCTAAATCTTTCCTTAAAATGAAGAAATAAAAAGTAGGTCTACAAGGAAATCTATTGTAAATTTTATTCTTAGGTTCTGTCACTAAACTAAAGAAAAATAATAGTATTTAGTTCCTTATCAACACACAACAAATTTATGGAGTGAATAATGCAAGTAATAAAACTTCTATTTCGTTCACTATTAGACAAATCTTAAGTTTATTAGTTTGCATTTTCTAACTACATATGGAATTCTAAGCTATAGTTCAAAAGACATGTGGGCTGTTCTTTCCTCCTTTTTCTCCACCGTTAATTATGGAGAAGGAATTAAATGTTTGTACTTGTACACGTGAGACAGAGATATGAAAGTTGACCGTGGAACGCATTTTCACTTTGAGAATTCTACGAGAATTTATGTTTGAAAATTTTTGGTTACCCTATCGTAGGGACATGGCTGCAATTTTTTTCCCGGTTTAATTATCGGGACTTTTTGTCTATTCATTGATTTGATTAATTAAGATTTTTCTAGGATAAATTTAATGTTGAGAACATAAAGTATTTCTTAAAGACTGTTTTATAATTACAGAATGAGAACTCCACATTTCTGGAGTACAATGATGCCACCACATCCTAAAGGAAAGGTTGCGTTTTTTTTTTTTTTGGCTGAGTCGAGAATTAGAATTTTATTCAACTAAGTAAACAATATGTACAAGTAGCTCAATTTAACTCTAGAAAAAAAAATAGATCAGCAAAAATAACTAAAAACAGTAAACTCTAAGACAGAATTTGCTAAGCTATCAGTAGTCTAGACTCAGCACCTTACCAAAAAAAGTATAAGTCTAAGCCTCTTCATGTAGCAGCATGTTTAGCCAGTTAACATGGAAAGCTATTTTAATGCTCTAAGGTTGCGTTTTGTTAAAACAACATAAACATCTAATATGCATGCAGTTATATTTTACGTTACGAAATGAAGCTGTGTTCATTTTTGGGATCAGAAGGTCATGATTTTTAGCTAGAGAGAATTTTGTTCTTTGTTTCCTTATTTTCCACGACGAAAAAGAAAATCTAGCCAACACTGGTCAAAATCATATTGAATGTTATGTCGTAACACTACAGTTCAAAATGTGACCTCTCATCACCGAATGACTATTTAAATCACAATTATTTAGATTTTAGTTATTATATATGTTTATTTTTTAAGTTCGAATCTTAATTATTTAGATATTAATTAATTTTTTTACAACTACTTAAAGGGTTTGAATAGATTTAAATAGTGGAGATCTACTAAATATGGTGTCCATTTAAGAATTATGCAAAGATGACATTTACATCTCGGTACGCTTTTACGGCAAATCATTACTTTCCATCATTATCAACTACCATTATCACCCGCCATCACACAATACACACAACCACAAAACCTCAATCAGAACCACCTTGTCACCAATTACCACAATGATTTTTTACCACCACTAACTACCATTTCAAACATCGTCGCCAACTGTTGCTACCACAACAATCATCAATCTGTTATTGACCACATTCAGCCAACACTATATATCGCAACCGCCGTTATCAGTCACCGCTATATTTAGCATCCATCACCAACTACTACCATCAACTCCACTAACTGCCAACCACAACTGCCACTAGCTACTACCACAATCACCATTATCGGCCAATTATACCGCCACCAACAGTAGCAAAGCCAAAATATTTATTAAAGATGATCAACATAAAGAAGTAAATCCGCGAAGAGGCCAAAGTGTGTCAATATATAGTATACATCCATCAGAAAAATCATCTAGCTACACAATGCAATTTTTAGACGAAGGGGTATCATCACTTGAATACATGTGGCTCCATCACTGGCCCCTACCGCTTCCCCCGTCAGTTAGCCATCACCACCACCATCATCCACCATCATATAATTCATTAAAAGTATTTTGTTGATGTATAAGTAGATTAATTAATATTTTATTTAAATTTATATTATTAATATTTTAAAAAAGACAAATTTATATATTTAGATGTTGAAAAAGCAAACACTCTTAATTATTTATTATTCAAATTTTAATATGACATCTTAATATTTAGATATTTATTAAAGATCAAATGCACGTCTTAATATTAACAAAAATAAATGAAACCTTAGTGTTACTACAACAAATGGAAAACGCCAAGTAGAGGTCAAGGTAATACTCAAATGCACGCTACTCATCAGAGTTATTAGTAAACAGATTAGGGAAGAAATTTTGTTATTGCTGTATTAGGTGATACCCTTTTTTGCTTGAGCCCGACCGGGTTGGGTCCGGACCGGAGCAAATCGGGGCCATCGAACCCGACCTGGATGCAAGGTAGAACGACGGCCACGTCTACAACCGAGGTCGAGTCATTTCGAGACCGTTACAGAGCTCGATAGGAGTCACCACCGGATGGAGAAACACACAAGGTCGGAAGCCGGACTCGTAACGGATAACCAAGCGTCGCCGGATATCTCGCCCAAACGTGATTTTCTCAACCACTTCAGGCCATTAAGGCGTAATTACAGGGATCCACGATGTAATCAATTGACCTACCTTATTTTTGCCCTTAATCAGAATGTATAAAGGGGGATCTCTCTAAATTCTTGTGGATCATCAAGCACAATTGTTCTAAGCAATATTATATTCTGCGATTATTTACTTTAACAGCAATTGTTGAGTCTTTATCTTTATTTTCCTTAACCTAAAAACCTTTTGTATCTTTTAGTTCACGGATCCTTAAAACCCCATATAAATTCAATTGTTATCCGGATTCGAGGGTAAACAGTTTGGCGCCCACCGTGGGGCTAAGGATATTGGTGAGCTCTTTGATACTCTTTCTTGACGCATCACAATACACTGGTTCTTTGCAAAAGAGTCCATCTTACATTCAAATTACCAACTCATAGAATGGCACAATCAATTAACAACGAACTTGAACAGCAGACGGGAAACAATGGAATACCCGGGCTCGAAAACCCGATAGATGCCGGTTCCCGGATGGCGCTCAACACTGATCAGGCCTCCGGATCATCGCATAGCGTCCGGGGAGAGGACGATTCGAGGGCCCAGGCAGTCGGCGAAGAGACTATCAACCTTAAAATGATTTTTGACATGCTGCAAGCCCAGCAATCGGCTATAGCCCAGCTCCAGAGCCGGGTCCAGGACGTCCCGTGCAGCTGCAATCATCAAT